CGTAATCGGTAAGCGGGCGGAACGCGCAAGCGAGTGGAACGCCCAACTCGTGATTTCCGCATTCTACTAAAATATAAGGCTTTTAATCAACGAAATCAACCATCAGAACAAGAAGGCAGGATCCTCTTAGCTATTAAGACTTTAAAGAATAATTAAATTCCGTTATTGCGAGAAGCAGCGCGTATTTTTAATATTCTGTAAACTATCTTCTAAAACCGCGTTAAAGAAGTTAAATTATAAAGCGATATACGTGCTAATTTGTGTAAATTAACTCTTCCAGAAGAGACGTTGGAACAGTGGTTTTTTTTTTAAATATATAAGAACTTTCCCCCAGGCCTTTCTATATTTATAAAAAAGCGTTTATACTGATCCGGAAACGAGGAGCCTCGCTGGAGGCATCGGATAAGATTTTAATAGAATAGAAATAGATATATAATTTTATTAAATATTATAATTTTTTAAAAATATGTTTTTTTTGCTGATATGATTATAAAAGAGCCCTCTGCGAAGATCCGAGGCTTATTAAAAAATAGTTTAACTGTATTTAAAATATTATATTAAAAAACAGAATTACAGATAAAGATATTTATAATTTTAATAAAATTGAATTTGCTATAGGCTTGGTAGCTACTGCTAAGATAGTAATAAAATCTAACTATATAAATAAATTATTTTTTATATAGTTTAAAAATTATAAATAGATAATATTAATTAAGTATATTAACATCTCGGACTGGGTCCTGCCTCTGTATATTATTATTAAAAAAAAGATATATATAAAGGTCTGGTATGAAGATAATATATTTTATTTTTAAAAAATTAATATTTTATTAAACAGTTGGACGAGTAATAAGATCGGATTGTATTAATTTAAATACTACTTTATTTTTTTAATTAAAAAACAGTAAGTCGGAAAATATAGCCTTTTGATTTTTAATAAATATAATTTTTATTTAATACTTCGTTTTAATAAAATCTGTAGTTAGAATAGTATTATTTCTATCTGTATGTCTTTATATTTTTTATATTTTTATCAGTTTTTAGATGTTGTCTGCTTCGCGCTGTTAAAAAAGGCATACGGCGGTATGATTAAACAGCTAATTTATTAAAAAATCTACTATATTAATAAAATTAATTTTTTAAATATATTTTTTAAAGTCTGAGAATTTATTTTTAAAAAATTATCTATACAGAACGTCTTTTCAGCTTCCGGCTTGGTATCTTTCCAGCCGGACGAGATGCTCGGAAAGCTAATATATAGTCTATAAAAAATTATTTCTATTAAAAGTTAAACTACTACTTCTTCTATACTAAAAACGCCTAAAAATACGAGATAATTGAAGAAGTATAAAACTACAATTAAAAGATTACTGTATAAATATATAAAAAGTCCTCCGGAGTTAATAAGAACTGTATTATTATATATTATTAAAGGCTGTAAAATCGCGTTGACAGTTTTGTTTAAATAGAAAAATTGCGATTTACAAACTGCAGACGAACGTCAGATTAAGAAGAAAAAATAAAGTAATTGCTAATTAACAGGCCTCGAAGAAGCTATAGTTTATAAAGTTATACAGCTTTTTCGCCGGGCTTGTGAGGAAGATAAAATCTTAAAAATTTAATAGTCTGATTCTGCGGCCGGTGAGGAACAGCCTCGCCGCCGCGCGCCACCTCGCTGTTTTTTATATAATAAAGTTGATTATATACGGACATGGTGTCCAGCGAGAGTAAAATATTAAAAAGAGGCGATTTGAATGGTGTAAAAAGGTTGATATTTGACTTTAAATTTGTATATAAAGCAGAATTACGAGTTGGGCGTTCTACTCGCTTGCGCGTTCCGCCCGCTTACCGATTATGTTAACTAAGCTAACGAGTCAAGGCGTCAGACTAGATGGTAAAATACCTTTCTTCTTTCAACTCGACATTCCCAGCACGCTTTACTGGGCTTGCCACGGTAGACCATGTTACGTAGCGCACGGTACCATTTTGCTAGGCAGGTTAATAAAATAGTTGGAAGACTTCAAGCTGGTCGAGTTTTGGTTCTGCAGAGTACTCAGAATTCAGTAAGGTATTCTACTGTAGGTTTGCCATGCCCACCGCCACTGCTTTGTAATCTTCGCCGCTGCTGAATCCGGACTAGTCTGCAGTGCCGTCGAGCTGGTTACCGAATCAAGGCTAGCCTAGCCGTGCCCCGGCAAAACGGGCGAATGAATGGGTGAGAACAAGCCACTGAACTTGGAAGGCATATCTAGTAGCCCTGAGGTAGTGACCTCCGAGTCCCTCGGAGTGTCTTTAGAGCTCATCGAACACGATCCACATCTTCGAGCTGCCTACCACTTCCGGTAGAACGGGGATGAATCATGTTAGGGGTGCAGCGGCAGTTCAGAACACGGTCTCCCTGAGAACATATATAAAGTGCACCGATTGTCTTCCACTCATGCTCCTTTCGACAGAAGCAAGATCGCGTTCCCACCACCTTCTTTCTCCATATCTTTTCTCTCAACAAACATAAAACATGTCGCAAGTCATCGCATTCGTGAGTGGAGCAACCGGCAAACAAGGCGGTGCCACAGCGCGCGAGCTCGTTACTGCCGGAGTCCAAGTACACGCACTTGCCCGGGACCCGTCCTCCAAGTCAGCCGTGGAGCTCCAGCGCCTCGGCGTGCGACTCTTCCCCGGCGACTATGACAAGCTCTTCGCCCTGAAAGCAGCGATGGAGGGCGCGACGGCCGTCTTCCTGAATGTGTCGCCCACGCTGTCCGACCCCCGATGCGAGGTGGTGCATGCCAAGAACATCCTCGACGCGGCGATCGCATCCGGCACCGTGACCAGCATCGTCTACTCGGGCGTGGCGATGACCGGACAGCACGAATCGTTCCCCAACTGGGGCCCCGAGTACCCGCTGCGGTGGTACTGGGAGAACAAAGCCGGCATCGAGGCCATGGTGCGCGCCTCGGGACTGCAACACTGGACGATCCTGCGGCCCGCCTTCCTCATGCACAACTACCACGCGCCGACGGCGGCGTACATGTTCCCGGAGCTGATCCAGCAACGGGCCTTTCGGACGGCCTACAAGCCCGAGACGGCGATGACGGTGCTGGCAGCCGAGGACGTGGGCAGGTTCGCGGCGGCGGCCCTCACCGACCCGCGAGCCTTCCACACCCACGAGATCGACTTGGGGGTCGAGTCGCTCACGCCGGCGCAGATCGTGCAGGAGCTGTGCAGGGTCAGCGGGGAGGAGGTTGAGCTGGAATTCTACGGTGAGGAGGAAGCGAAAGCCTTGGCCCAGAGGGATCCCAGATTCTACGCCCAACTGTGGACGAATGAGGTGGGCTACCAGGTCGATTACACGGCCCTCGAGAAGTACCCGATTCGCTTGACAAGATTCGCGGATTATCTGGACAAGCATCGCGACGAGGTTCGCGCGATGTTCAAGTGAGCATGTTGTTCTATATGCTTGTTACCTGTGAAGGGTATGATGGCGGATCGGTGGTTGATTTCTTCGGACAGCGCAGCCTTTGCAATTTGACGTGACCGAGCACATCGAGCCGTACGTGTGATTCGGAGCATCTGTTTTGTTGGCATGCCGAGGATCAGAAGAAACTTTTGATGATTGCCTCTTCAGGAAAAATGTGTATATCAACTGAAAACAAATGCTCCAGTTATGTTATTTAGCACAGCTGGCCAACTACGGTGTCGAGTTTTACTCGGGTGACTAGGGTGATTACTCAAGACAAACATGTTTTTGTCAGACCTTAGCATGGACAAAGTGGAAAGCAAACAAGACATTTCTATTCTAGTCTATCATCTCGAAGTCTATAAACAGTTCGTAAAGCAGGTATAGTTCATAAAAGTGCATCATGGCCTGCCCCGCGGGCCTTCAACTTCATCGAGACGCGAGCCCACCGGACAGCATCGCTAGGACGCTCGGTCCGGGCGGGGAAGTTCCCCAAAGAATGATTCTCCGGGCTTAGCCCAAAGTGAGAGTAATGCCCGACGAAGTCGTGCAGCTGTTGGTATCGGTGTCGTCGGGCTGCTGGTAGGAGGCGGAGCAATCCGAGTCGCCGGCGGAGCAGGTGACGGAGCTGCAGCTCGAGTCCGAGGGAGTGGCGGAGAAGCCCGCGGTGACGAAGGCGGAGTCCTTGTCCAGGTTGATGGAGGATAGGTCCCAGTAGAGGGTCTCGCCGTCGCTGGTGTACTCGAACTGCAGGACGCTGCTCTCGTCCTGGGTGGTGGACAGCTTGATCGAGACGCCGCCGTCGGAGGTTTTCTGCCAGTTCTCGGAGTAGCTGCCGCCACCGGACGACAGGGACTGCATGCTGCTGGAGCCGGTGTCGGTGGCGGTGGACCAGAGGTAGACAGTGCTGTTCATGTTGTTGACGATGGAGACACTGCCACCGCCGCTGGTGGAAGAAGAGGAGCTGGCGCTAGCGCTGCTGCTGCTCGAGGTGGCGGTTGCGGAGCTAGTGGTGCTCGACTGCAGCGGCTGGGGAAGCGCGGAGGCCGCGAGAGCAAAGGTGACAGCAAGAGAGATCTTGGTGAACATCATTGTGAAAGATTGATGTGATTCTTCTTGGTTGGATAGAGACCGACTGCGGAAGAATGTGATGTGATGAAGAGAGAAGGTAGTTCTGATCAACAGACAGCAGACAATTCACACGAAAGGAATGCACGAGGATCAACCTCAGTAGCGAAAGTAGAGTGGATTGGTAAAGAACCTTCAAAGGAGAGGATGGTTGTGAGAGAGCAGATAGCAGTGCCACGAAGGGCAGCTTTATACCTATCTCATGGTGGAGCCCGGAAACGAAGGCGGCTGCGTCAGGCGCGATGTGTCAGCTGTCTCCAAAGGCGACATGTAAAACAAAAGTGTTAAACGTGTCAAACTTTGAAGACAGGCACAAAATTCTAAAATTCTAGATCCTGGCACCCACGGTTGCCTGGTTCAGCGGCGAATCATGGCGGGGGTTTTGTGCAAGGTACACCAGGCACATACGTTTGTTCCTGATGCCCTGGAGTCAAAACGCAAAAAAACCCCGCAGGTGGAGCTTGGAACGGGGACCAGTGGGCCACAGACTGGCGTATGCTGCAGTCTGGTTAGTGGTTCTAGACTCTCCATCGGTTCATCCAGACATTACGACAGCATTTGCCACCAACCCCAATGACGTTCTCTGGAACAGAGCCACCGTATCAGCAAGGATTTTCCTGGGGACTCGGGGCACTTGTTCTCTCCGGAGCAGTTTTCTGCCGGGGTAGGTCTAGCGAGCGTGTGAGTCACGTGATGATTCCATCAATTCGATCTTTTACCGCCTTTTTCTTTAGCCGAGGCTCTGCCGCACCGTGGGGAGGAGAACAAACCAAACAAACCAAGCCAAGCGCCACCCGCGCTCCAATGCACCGCCTTCCTAACCACTCTTGCTCTTTCGTAGACATTGCCCGGGATGGTCAGGCCACGCCACCACCACCACCCACTGGGCACCTGGCACAATTTTCGCGGGCAGAATGGGTAGACAACTGGGACCAACCACGGTGTTACTCACGGAGTGTCAGGTGCAGTAGGTGCAAACACTTTCCAAGAACCACAATGGCAGTTCAAGTTACAACTTACCTAGTACTCGTGAACCCCCTCACCTAAGCACTTGCAAGTATGTATAATGGCTTTCTTTGTTTCATATACACGCAAATGTCAAGTACTATTCATTTAATTGCCGCGGCATAAGGCTCGGAATGCGGATATCAAGAAGGTGCTAGGTACTCTTAACAGTTCTATCCCTGCCAAAAGTATCGGGATGCTTAGATCTTGTGCCGAAATATGCTCAAGTTCATGTGCCTTGCAAAGGTCTGCAAGTCGTCACGTTGAACACGTTTTTCAAAAAGACCCGAGGCAACAGAGAGTCCCATGTAACAGTCTGGTATTCCGAGTTCTTGATCCAAGATGGTAGCGAAAGACGACGGGATTTAGATAAAGGCCCGTGCCATGCAGTCATACATGAGTAATTCTCGAGTAGTAGCAATCGACCCATCTGTCGGCCGAGACACTCATACGCAGCGATTCAACTGCGTGGGACCAGAGCCCCATGTGTACTTATGCGGGTCTTTAGTTGCAGCCCAAGAACGCCTGTCATTTACCCAGTAAGTTCTTCGATCCGGTGAAGGGGTTTGTCAAAGGCCTGTATTCGCGGTGACTCCCAGGAAGGTATACGAAGAGGACGATCGGGACACATCCGGTGGCAGTCTCCCTGCTTCCAGCAGGCCACCCTCCCTTGGTGACCCCCTCCGCGGCACGGGCGTGGATACCCTCCCCGCCGATCATCCCGGCCTCCGCAGACATCAACCCCACCAGGTACGACACGGTCGCATTCGGGTTTTATCGCACCTTCTGCCAGCTCTGAGACCAAGACATCATCCCACAAAGGGTCCGCTTCCAGGTCTCGCTGCTCCTGCCCTTGAACTGCGGGATTGGCCATAGCTCGATCAGAGTTCCACACGCAGCCGGACCCCCTCCACGAGCAGTGCACATGGTCGAGGCCATACAGTCCATTGTAATGAGTACAACAACTCCCCGCCGCCGATCTCCCGCTGCGGTGGGATTCCTGCTTCGAGACCACCGCCATGGAATGCGAGCGGAGCCGCCTGCCGGATCCCTTCTTCTGCGCCCACTTCTCCCCAGTCATGGAGGGCATCCTGGAGCGGACGCAGCGTCTCTGCGCCTTAATCCCTGCGGAAGTTCCCCTGGATCTATCTCCGCTACGCGGACTGTCATCACGTGCACTTTGTCGAGCTGGAGGACCTCGGGCTCATGGTGGAGTTGGTGAACCAAGTGGTGCAGCAAGGATTCACCCGCGCGCCGTCGACTGGGCGTGATGCGGAAATCCGGGATGAGTTCACGTATTTGGGTCGCTGAACGAGTTGGAGGCGGGCAAGGATACAAGGCTCTATCTTGGGGGTGGTGCATGTCAATAGCAAGGAGGCGACGCGCAGAAGGATCAATGCGGTCCAATCCTTTATGATAGACTTGTAGGGTAGCAAGTGGGTGTAGTTTGGGAAGAACTCTCAGAGATGAGGTAGAGAGTATTCTGCATATTTCAAAGGATGTTGCGTGCTAGTGTGAGGGTGAGATGTATCATATCTAGCGATGCGATCCGGAGGCTCTGATTCCGCCATGCTGAAGGTGGCTCTTTTCAGGCTTTGGAATGGTTTGAGTGGGATACATTGAGCCTGGTTGGAGAATGCTAGGGTTTGCCTCGTTTGTGTTGTTGGAAGATCAGAAGAGAAAGAAAAGAGACAGCTTGGAATCAATATGATCACTGCATTTCAGAAAGAGGCCATGTTGTGCTTCAAGTCTCCGCCTCGGACCGTAAGCCAAAAGCCAAGAGAAGACAGGCTGCCTTGACGTGTCGCCGGGCAACCGTCGCGCCGACCCCTAAACAAATCGGCGGGGACTCTACCCACTCACGCTGGTGCTCTACGATGCTCGCTAGTGCTCTACGATGCTCGCTAGTCTCGCTATCCTCTTATACCAGCACGAAATATGACTTTCAAAACGTATAGCGCCGCGCCCCAGCTCCTCGAACGACGCAAATTCCTGGTCGATTTGGAGTTCAAAATCGAGGCCCTCCAGGCTCACAAAGTTGACATGCCGCAGCTGAAGGAGCTGAAGGTTGAGATTCAACAAATGTCGCACCATGGAGATAATGCCCGCAAGCCTTTTTCCTTCATGCCGATCTTTATAGTACCCGCGACCAAACCGCGACGGCGTTGAAGGATCTTGGAGGGTTGTCCCTTGGTAGTCCCATTGGGGATACCACCTAAGCTGGCGGTGGTCTCGGTTCGTTTACAACGTTAATGGCTGGCAGGGTAGTAGTGGTTTCCAGAGTTCTGGCTTTCATGCAGGTTTAGATTCAATTATGGGCACAGGGGAGTTTACTTACGTGCGAGATACCCCCTCTTCTTCAACATATCAGTCTTCTCTGTTCTTCGCCTCCCGCTTGCCGTCGCGCCCAAGTCGGCTCAAAATTAGGCGTCAAACAGGCAGTCCCATACAGATCGACCCTTGTAGTCGCGAAATCAGTAGTCCTTACCTCCCACCCCAAACTTCAATAGCCCGCGTCAGACATAATATCGCATGAGTTTTCGGGGCGAGAAAGGACGTGGGGAATCATGGGTAATTGCTGTCGACTCGTACCCTACTCTGTTAAACTCAATCATTAGCACCTGGTGGCCATCAGTTGCCAAAGCAGGCCCTACGACCCGTAGCAATTCTGGGATGTTTGATCCTGATGCATGGAAGAGGAATGTTTACCTTGCGACCTCCGACAACCCCTTCCCCCGCTTGACGACCGAGACAGGTCGAATCTCAAACCGCTGGACCCCCGCAGCGACTAATGACCCGGTAAGCTTCCTGGCCGCCTCCTGCACCCGGCCATAGAGGATCTCCCCACAAAGCCACTCGCACTCCCCCTCCTCACTCCACTCAAATCCCCCGCCTTCCGCCCTATACGTGAGGAACCTCCCCTGCGGCAGAATCTCCCACCCATCCTCCGCAGATTTCAGACTAGGCGGATTGAGAATGATATAAACTCGCTCCAGCCGCGGGAAGCACCACCAGACTTTCTCCAGCGCGCGGGGCTCCAAGTGAAGCGACATGCTGGATATGGCGATGCGGGGGTGGCCCTCCCCGTCACGGATAGGCATCCGCTTTCTGGGCAGCTGCTCCACCCGTCGGTCGAGCGGGTCGATGCAAAAGCTGTCGAGTTGCGTTGCGTGAAGATAGAGAGTGTCACGGTTCGGGTCGAAGTGGTGGGTGACGACGGGCGACCCGGTCCCGATGTCTGGGCGGAAGTGAATCTTGAGGCCGAGTTTGCGGGCCCACGAGCGCGCCGTGCCATTTGCCTCCTTGTTGACCAGCAGATGGGGTAGTCGTGCGCTCACTGGGTCCATGCGCGCGAAAAGGTAATCGTCATGGCCAAACTCACCTTCGTTGTACGGAAATAGCACTCCTGGCCGGACTTGGTCGGGGAGGGTGAGGCGCCAGATGTAGTGGCGGAGCTCTGGAGGGAGTTTGAGAAATTGAGCGAATGTCATGATTTCTGCTGGCGGGCGGGAGATGTTCTTGAAGATGTTGGTCGATATGCGATATTCATACAGTAGGTGCTTAGCTGGTGAGACAGGTTTCCGATCCAGCCGGAGTTTTGAGGGGTCGCTCGGCGGAATTTATATTAATTTCTCGAGAATAGTAAGCAGGCCTATCTGATTCAGGAATAGCCTGTCTGAGTGACTCTTTGGAGCAAGGCACTTTCTCTCTAAGCCTGACTTCAGTCGACTTTTGAAACAGCTAGGCTGCGATGGTTTGTACATAGATTGTAAAGTAAGAGGCCTCGTACTTCTCGGATTAGGAGCCCTACCGCCACGCCTCGGCCACCGCAAGCTAGCCTTCGTCACTGTGGTTCACAATTCAGAGCTTAGCTAGTAGTCTTGAGCCCTTCTGCACATTCTATCCCAATTAATGCATGCAGAAAAGCCCAGTGCTAAAAGATGACGCATGAGAAGGCTCTTTATGCAGGCTGACTAAGCTATGCACATGGCCGCCCACAAGTCCGATCGAGGACGAGCCATATCTAGGAATTTCGGTTAGAAAGGACTTTTAGGGGTCTGTGATTTCTTACGTCTCACGCAAGTAGCCATACTGGTGTATACAGGCAGCGGACTCAATTGCGACGAGAGCTGGCGATGACGTGGCTGAAGTACAGGAGAAACCTCAGTTGGACCAGCAATATAGAGTGGAACCTGCCTCAAATCTAGCGCGGTCTGGTGACAGTCTCGACACCGAACTCGCCATGACAAGCCGCTATCTCTGCAGTATCACCAAGACCCTCCAGAAGTCTCGGCCAACTTCCGCCGCCCATGTCGAGATTCTTGCGAAATCCCGCCGCCCAACCACCGCCTTGGCCCGCACACCGAAAACTGCTGCCTAGGAGCCAAGCAAAGAAGAGGTAAAATCGTATCGCACATTCAAAGTCTCATAATCATTACTGCTCAGTATTATACAAAATATCACACATCCGCGACCCTCAATCATTACGGTTAAGATGGTATACGCCGAAGTTGCGCCCGTGTCCCCAAAAATTGTACGAATGTCCCGACCGACGCATGAAGAATGAATCAATAGCGCGATGATCTATTTGTTAGCCAGAATGTAGCTGCGAGGTGTGTTAGCTGGGAAATTGTTCTTTAGCGAAAAAGGAAAAAGTGTGAACATACTAGGCGTGGATGACACCAGGCAGCCAACCCAGGATGCAGAGACAGATGTTGATGAGCAGATCGCAGCTGCAGCCTGTGCGCATGAAGACACCGACGAAGGGGAGGAAGAAAGCGATGATGATTTCGCAGCAACCGCTGTATGAAGGGTGTTAGCTTGACGATCTTTGTCTCAGTGGGGATGCGTCGGGGAGGGCGGCGCGGAGACATACACTGTGTTGGCCATTGTGAGCGGTTAGAGATTATGTTGATGGATTGAGTGGTTTAGTTTAGCTAGGGTATAGTATTAAAGACCAGGTCTCTTTGTTGAAGGTGTAAAGGTTGGAATTTTAGGAAGAGTGGAGGAGGGAGTGGTGTGGTTCAAGAGTTTAAAAGGACTTTGAGGGGAGAGAGATTCGATGACATCAGGCGCGGGTGCATCATAGGGCTGAAAATGGAGCGAGTTTCCGCAACTCCCTCCAACAAATCAACGCTTACCACCGACAAAATGCTGCCATGGCCAAGGGGGGATTCCTGATAGCCCAGATGATTATGACACAACCAATGACGATCTTGCTTGGGAGTCTCGTGGGAAAATCTGTCTTTTGCATAGGGCTGCACTCCAATTCGCAGTCAAGAGTGCCAAGGCAACGGCCCGGGCTGGATCTGGTGGCTGAAATGATGTAATCTTCCCAACTGCGATGCGGTGCCTGGCCCGAGGCCATTTCCACCATTCTTACATTTGGCTCAGGCGATCAACGGAGTCTATCCAGAAATAAAGTACACGGAGGACAGATGATGTTGACTACACCTGTTTGTGATCATCTAATTTAGGACATTAGGCACTCTGTTTGACCCTCAGTTCTTGCGTGTTGTTTGTTCAACTCACAAGCAGTGGAAGCCATCAGTTGATTGTTCGCAAAGAACACAGCACGCCAACATTATGCCATTTTTGGACCTGATTTCATGGCCTTCAGGCGCCGATGTTGCTGCCTCAGAGTTTGGTTTCTAACACAGAGCTGGCTGTGCTGCGCCTTTGTGAAGGTTGATAGGCGGTGAATTACTCAGAATGTCTGGACAGACTAGTAACACACCCAAAAGACAGGGGAAGAAGTGAATGTGTGATGATGGACGTGTGAGGGTGACGCGCCTACTTTTGACAGAAACCTTTCCTCTACTTCACACCGGATGGAACTTGTCGTTTCCTCTTTCCCACCACCATGACAGAGTGTGTTCATCAACAGGTTCAACTGGTGTCTTCGAGAAGAACGGATTAAACATATAGCTCAAGATGCAAGGCACACATATACTCAACCTCGCGTGGGTTCTCATCCTCAGCCTGGTGTTGACGTGCCCCTGCTTCAAAGCGAGCGCGGTCGACCTCAACATCGACGATCCTGGTGGGTAATCAGAAAGCTTCGCCAAGACGACTCATTTGTTGCCACGCGACTGACTCCGCAAACCATCCCAGCAAATATCAAACACGTCGCGCGCCAGCTCGCCTGGGATCTCGTGAGCTTTTACAGCGGCAACCACACCGGCGACGTCCCTGGTAACCTCCCTGATCCGTACTACTGGTGGGAAGCGGGCGCGTTCTTCGGCACGCTGGTCAACTACTGGACCTACACCGGCGACGACACCTACAATGCAATCACCACGCAAGCCATCCTGCACCAGGCTGGAGAGAAACGCGACTTCATGCCCAGCAACCAGACCCGCACCGAGGGGAACGACGACCAGGCCTTCTGGGCGTTCACAGCGCTGCAGGCTGCAGAAAACAACTACCCGAATCCCCCGGGCGATCAACCTTCGTGGCTGGCCCTGGCGCAGGCAGTCTTTAACCAGCAGGCCGCGCGCTGGGACCTCACCAAATGCGGCGGAGGCTTGAAGTGGCAGATCTACGCCTTCAACAGTGGCTATACCTACCGCAACGCGATCTCAAACGGATGCTTCTTCAACATCGCCGCCCGACTGGCAAGGTACACCGGAAACAGCACCTATGCGGACTGGGCCAACAAGGCATGGGACTGGTCCTCGAGAGTTGGACTGATCGGGCCCCACTTCGAGGTCTACGACGGCACTAGCGAAGGAAACAACTGTTCGGATCTCAATCATGTGGAGTGGACGTACAATAACGGAGTCTTCCTGCTTGGGGCGGCGCATATGTGGAACTACGTACGTTGTGATTTGTCCTCTCCCGCTAATTCTTTTATTTCTCTGTCCTCGGCTGTTCGCAGATGCCAAGAACCAGATGACTCTTACTAACTACTCCTCATCTTGCAGACTAACGGCGATGAGACCTGGCGACACCGAATCATGGGGCTGCTGGAGGCCCAGGATATCTTCCTCTCCGAAAACGAGACAGCGAAGAACGTGTTCTACGAGTCCGCGTGCGAGAACTGGGACACCTGCCAGGTGGATCAATTCTCCTTCAAGGCGTATCTGTTCCGGTGGATGGCCGACACTGTCAAAATGGCGCCCTTCACGCACGATCTCATCCTGGGCCGTCTCCGACCGACCGCGCGGGCGGCGGCCGCCCAATGTGTGGGAGGCGCGACCGGGACGTACTGTGGAATGAAGTGGACAACGGGGGTCTACGATGGGACCAAAGGGGTGGGACAGCAGATGTCGGCGCTGGAAGCGATCCAGACCCTGCTCGTCGAGTCGGTGGCGGGGCCCCTTACCCACAAGACGGGGGGCTCCAGCAAGGGGGATGGGGCGGCGGGCACCACAACCTCGGATAAGGCCAGGGACCCCAGTGCGCTTAGACCCATCACTGCCGCTGACCGGGTGGGCGCTGCGGTCTTGACCGGGGTCGTGATCGCTTTGGTGCTGGGCACCACGTTCCTCATGAGGCCTTGATGGTAATCTATTGTGTCTCTTAGAGTTTATTTGTCTCACCAGGAACTTGAGGAATACGTGAGTGATCACTGTGTTGAGAGACTTCGCTTGCGCGGTTCTCCATTAGTTGTGTTTCTGCCTACACCTTTATCTGTCAATCTTGAGAGTTTGTTCCATCACATGAAGATTGCTATTTCGCTTAAGCACACTATGGGAAGATGCTGAACAAAATTCAGTCCAGATATGGTTGTAAACAGACCAAAATTACCCAAATAGGCTGTTATCGTGAGAAATCCCCGGATTGTTGGTAGAAATTGCATAACTAGGAGTGACAGGTGGGGCAACTTGGACTCTAACATCCAACCACCATGCAACCAGTTCGAACAGAAGGCCTTCTGGATTTCATCTTCAATGCCAAGTCCACAGCATTTGACACTACTTCTTACCGACTGTTGGAACTCGCCCATCACCGCCAATCTTATCGGGCGAGTCTGGAGACTGACATAAGCAGAGATCGATCCCTTATCTCACACTAGTCCTGATGTGGCCAAAGATACGCCGAGTCGGTCCAACTATCCAATCAGAAGATAGCCTTGGAAGGGAGGCAAATGCCGGGATCGGGATTGCTGATAATCTGCAGTGTCTGGAAACTCTCTGTGAAACAAAGAGGCGGGGAGAGATACGGTCTATCCTACTACTTAAATCCTCCGTCTCGCTGCTTCCGTCTCCCCCAATTTAGACGCGAAGGAGAAGGTTCTTCTCTTGCAATCCCGCAGACACAATGGCAGCCTCCGGCCCACACCCCTTTGACCCTATCAACCCGGCGGAAATCGTCCTTGCCACCAAGTTGGTAGAGGCTGCTTTCCCCGGCGTCAAGCTCCGGTACAAGAAGATTGATATCCAGGAGCCAATCAAGAGCGAGGTCGTTCCATATATCGAGGCAGAGCGTCTGGGAAAGCCATTGCCTCCCAAGCCGACGCGGTTGCTACAGGTCCTCTTCCACCGCTTGGACACCGGTGCTTTTCTGAAAGCCCTGTTGAACGCGGGCACCCGCTCTATCGTCTTTGCCAAGGAATTGCCGAAGGATGTCCAGGTATGTTGCCGGTATTAAACATCCCCTGCCGCCTGTTCTCACTGCTGACTGACCTCCTCGCCCCAGGCCCCTGTGGACGCCGACGAGTTGGAGGAGATCGAGCGATTGTGCTTGAATCACCCCGCGGTACAGGCGGAGGTGGCCAAGTTGCAGCTTCCCGCTGGCGTGACGGTCTGCAACGATCCCTGGATCTATGGGAGGGACGATCCTCAAGAAACCCGCCGGTTGTTCCAGTGTTACATGTACATAGTGGCCACGAACCACCCGCAGAACAACCACTATTCCACTCCTTGCAAGTTCTCTCCCGTGTTCGATGGCATTACCCACGAGCTGGTCCGGATTGATTTCCTGCCTGGCGGCGTCGATGCAACAACGACCGAGACGCAACCGTGGAAGCCCGTGCAAACCATCCAGTATGCGCACGAGCTGCTGGACGAGCCCTTGCGGACGGATCTGAAGCCATACATTGTGCAGCAGCCCGAGGGGCCATCTTTTACCGTCCAGGGGAATGTGGTGTCGTGGCAGAAGTGGCGATTCCGCGTGGGGTTTAACAGCCGCGAGGGCTTGGTCGTGTACAACACCACCTATGATGGACGCAACTTGTTTTACCGACTGTCCGTGTCGGAGATGACCGTCCCTTACGGAGGTAAGCCTTGATTTTAGCTGTGTCCTGCGGCTGTCGCCATTCCCCCCCAGGATGCCCAAGACGAGCACTAACTCGCACCCCAGACCCGCGCGCCCCCTACCACCGCAAACAAGCCTTCGACGTGGGCGACGTCGGCTTCGGCATTACGGCGAACCAACTCTCCCTGGGCTGCGACTGCCTCGGCCACATCAAGTACTTCGACGGCTACCGGGCCGACTCAAAAGGCCAGCCGCTGCTCCTGAAGAACGTGATCTGCCTGCACGAGCAGGACAACGGGCTGCAGCACAAACACACCAACTACCGGACGAACGCAGCAACCGTGGTGCGCAACCGCCAGCTGGTGATCCAGATGATCTGCACGGTGGCCAACTACGAGTACATCTTCGCGTTCATCTTCGACCAGGCGGCGAACATCGAGCTGGAGGTGCGGGCGACGGGGATCCTGTCGACGGTGCCGTTCGACAACGCGATGCCCGGCACGACGGTGCCGTGGGGCACCAACGTGGGGCCCGGGGTGATGGCGCCCTTCCACCAGCACCTGTTCTCCTTCCGCATCGACCCGGCGCTCGACGGCTTCACCAACACGGTCTACTACGAGGACAGCGTGCCGCTCCCGGAGGACGCGAACAACCCGTGGCTCGTCGGGTACACGACCGAGCAGACGGTGCTGCAGCGCAGCGGCACGGCGGAGACGGACGTCGCGCGCCACCGGGTGTTCAAGATCCGGAACGACGCGTGCGTCAACCCGATCACCTACAAGCCCGTCGCCTACAAGCTGCAGACCTCGCCGAGCCAGATGCTCCTGGCCAGCCCCAAGTCGTACGGGGTCAAGCGCGCCCGCTTCGGCACCAAGCCCATCTGGGTGACGCGGTATCGCGACGACGAGCTGTACGCGGCCGGCGAGTTCACGAACCAGAGCGCCGACTCCCAGGGCGTGGACAAGTGGGTGCAGCGGAACGAGGTGGTGGAGAATGAGGATCTGGTGCTGTGGCATAGTGAGTAGTAACCCTGGCACTTGCGGCCTTTCCCCCATTCCCCCGCGCAAACAACCTCCACTCTGGCTGCAACAAGGATGAAAACTAATCGACGGAACAGCCTTCGGCCTCACGCATAACCCCCGCATCGAAGATTTCCCCGTCATGCCGATGGAGCGCGTCAGCGTCATGCTGCGCCCGGACGGCTTCTTCACCAAGAACCCCGCGCTGGACGTGCCGGCCTCGAACCAGACGTTCAACCAGTCGACGCTGCACCCGGAGCCCGTGGCGTGCTGTGCGCCCGCCGAGCGGCAGGGGAAGTTGTAGATTGTTTCCTCCGATAGATAGATAGATAGATTCACTCCTGTATGGTCTCACGATTAATGACACTGCTTGGTCCTGCTCTCAAATATGTACCTCAGCGCCGCAACTGGCAAATTCACTGGAAATGCAGTCATCTATAGTCTAGAAACCGATGGAAACCTCGCCAGACAGGATATACTGTAGCCACCGACCATGTGGCGATGGCAGCACCACCGCTCCCGACAACAATCACACCAGTAAAAATGGCAACCATCATACTGTCCCAGTGAGCACTCGTGCCTTCTTTGATAATTTCAATACACCCTCTCAAAGATAAGACCCAACCTCCCCCAAAATCTGGTTCAACGTACATCCCGAACCCCTCCGACCCACCGACCTCGCCGACCACGATAACCCAGAACTAAACCCCGGAAGAATCGCCGACCATCCCCAACATGACTAAGCAGCGCCATACGCGATAGTTAAAATCCCCCACTTTTCTGCTGGTTCATCCACCAACACCACCAAACCAGCCTCCAAAACCTATCCCTTTTCAAAATCAAAAGATAAAGATCCTACATCTACTACCGTCATCATGTGTATGAAGGCCACTTGCTCTACTTGCCGTATGTCCCCGGAGTGTCTAGTATGAGGGAGATAAACTGACAAAGACAGAAAAAACCTCCTGGTGGGGCTGCGGCGCGCACATCCCCTCGGTCATGGACGCCATCCCCGAGAGTGAGCGGTGCACTTGCACGCCCAAGGTCGAGCGGGAGGGCAAGTCCTACCCGCCCAAGGCGGCGCGGTGACTCCCTGGGTGTGTTGTTGTCTAGTTAGGGAAAGAGGGTGATGGGATGGTGGCGTTGGGGTGTTCAGGGGAGTTGGGCGATGTGTGAGGAATTCTGATGAAGGTGACGATATACATGTACCGTACGCATGTTTTGAATGATGTGGAGATAAAAGAATCTCTCATTAGAAATAAAGCACCGTACAACATCAAATAGACAGTTCATCATTCATCCAAGACAACGCATTCTGCGCGATACCCAGTCTCAGCCCATCCACCACCTCAAACCCGACAAACGATACACATCAATCAAAGAACAACCACATCTTGAAAGCTCCCCAACTCACTCATATACACCTTCTCCACTCCCCTATCTCCAGACCGCCTTAGTACCTCCCTCCCATCGCCCACAAACCCCTCTACCATCGAACTGGTACCTCGCCGCTCCGGAATCCCCTCCAGATCCCCGGCATACCTCGCCACCACAAACGCCGCCGCCCGCGCATTCATCAGAAAAGCTTCCTGATCCAAATTCGCCACCGTATCCCCAGCCCCATGATAATTAGGATCATACGCCACCCCGACCCGCCCCCGAAACAGCTCCGCGTCCCGCTGCGTCTTGATCCCGTCGGCCCCGGTGAACAGCCCTCCTGCAGGGATGCCTTTCCGGATGAATGCCCGATAATCCGAGCGCCCGTTGAATGGCGTCGCGCGGTAGGACACATTCCGCCGCTCGAAGTATTCCTGTAACGTGTGCTGGATGTGTTCCGACCCCGGCGGGCCGGAGACATTGTACCGGGAGCCATCACCGTCGTAGATCATGTACGCGTAGTTGGGGGAGGCGATCATATCGAAGTTCAAATACAGGCGGATGTGCGTGAGGTTGGTGGGCGACGAATTATTGATGTAGTAGGTGCTGCCCAGGAGCCCGAATTCCTCGGCTGTGAAGAAGAGGAAGCGTACTGCGTTGCGGATTAAGGGGCGAGATGACGACAAGGCAAGAGCGCGGGCGATGGCTAGACAGCCGATGGTGCCGGAGCCGTTGTCGTTGATGCCGGGGCCGGCGTCCACGGAGTCGGTGTGGCTGCCTACCGTGATCACGTTGCTTGCGTTGCCGGCTTTGGTCTGCGCGATCAGGTTGTAGGTCAGGCGTGGGGCGGATTGGGTGTGGATGTAGAGGGTTAACCGTGGGGATGGAATGGGGGTTGTTGTGTTGGAGGAGGTGGCGTTGGGCGTGATGCTGCGCAGGAGGCGCTGGCCATCGAGGAGGCTGATTCCCACGGTTGGGGCAAAGGGAGTCGTGGTGTTAGGGCTGCCCAAGGAGCCGTGCAGCGGGCCGGCGACGTTGTTGTAGATTATGAGGCCTGCGGCGTTGGCGGCCGCGGCGAGGGTAGATTTGTGGCCGAAGGCACAGCCGCCCCGGCGCGTGAGGAGGATCTTTCCCACTGCTGAAGTGTTGTAGTCTTCAGCGCTGCAGCCGAGTTGGGGGACGAGGGCCAGCTCGGCGGTGACGTTCGTGCTTGGGCTGTGGGTCATGCTATACGCGATGAGAGTCTGGCCCTCAGCTGTAGTCACCGATTGATTGTGTTTCGTCCAGGTATGAATTTGGGGCTGGCGGTGGAGGTCGTAGGCTCCCGTCGCGTTGAGCTCGCGGCAGATGTAGTCCAGCGTGTCATTGTGGGCGGCGCCACCGAAGACTCGATTGCGTTGCGGGTAGGCATAGGCAAAGTCTTGGAGTATCTGCGTGCCTTCGAGGAGACCGGATATAGTGATTTGTGATGCGAATGTTTCCTAGGAAAGACTGTGTGTTAGCCATTCTCAGGATGTGATTCACCAGGAAAGAGGGGCATACAGGAGAGACAGAGGCTCTCTTGGTTGCAAGGGCTGTAGTAAATGGAACATATAACAATAGCCTGAATGTCTTCATAGTAGTAGTAATAAGAATAGAAAGAGTGTCTTAGGAAGTGCGGTGATGTAAGAATAGCGAGTTGGTCAGGAGTTGAACTCAGCTTGAACGTCCTGGGGCTTGGGATGACTTTTATGGTACCCTCTATCGCAGTTGCCAATCAACCCACCGCCACTGCCAATCTGGCTGAAGTGGTGCTTTCCACCTGGTTGCGCAATCCTACCAGAGTGGTACTGTGCAACACTTGGCTAGGGACAAGTCTAACAGACAGCGGCGGGAGTCCCAGCTCAGGCTACACTGCTCGGATAGTATGGTGGGAGCAACCTTCGTCCTGCCAGCAGTTTGGCAGATCATTTGACCTTAGCCCCTTGTACTCGACGAGGTATGACTCTCTAGAATCATGTCCATAGTAAGGATGCACTTCGATCATCTGTGCTAAACGCTCAGTGCTTTTCTCCGACTCTATTTTGGGTGGGAATAAAACTGTCTGACACCAACTTATTTTAAGCAGTTTGTTACCATTCTATATAATTACAAAGTCCTGCTGGGCTTTACTATACAATTATCTTATACCTACTATCGACGGACTGAAATATATTAGATATAGAAAACTTTTGAAAAAAGCTTTTTAACATTTGATATCTTATAATTTCTTAGTATTCTATGGCTTTTTTTATAATTATTATTTATCGGGGTTTCTGGGGCTTTTAATTAAATTTTAAAAAGAAGAACTATTCTATTTATTATTAAATTAATTATTTAAATAACAGCTGTTTCTGCTCGTAGTACTTTTTGATTAGGAAGTTTACAGTATTTAAAAATCCGAAGTAGTTATGTGTTATAAATAACCTACAGAAATATAACAGATTAAAGATGGCTTATCTTTGTATTTCTTATATAAAAGTTTCAATATTAATAACTTTTAATTTCTTAATATTTAATTTTTAGAATCTTATTAGATTATTAGAATAGTAAGAATTAGTCTTAAAATTAATATTTATACTTACTCTATATTTAATTAGTCTATTTTTATGTTATAATTCTAATTTTTTTAGTTATTTATAAAATATAATATATTATTGTAACTATTATATTTAGATAGTAATTTAAAATTAGAAACTTTTTCTATTACTTATAATATCACAGTACAGACCTAAGATACCCAGTCTATTTAAAATATCTAGTCTATCTAGCCTATTCAGACTATTTTATATATTCTAAATATTCTGACGGCTTATTATTCTTTCTAACTGTTTTCTATATAATATATAATTTTTTCAATTTTTTATTTATTTTTAATTTAGTTTATAGCTCTTCGAGCTATATCTGATCTATAAATCTAGAAATAATCTGACTAAATAATTAGTTGAAAAATAGAAAAATTATTATTAAAAAGTTTTTAATTAATTTTATTATTATTACTACTTTAGTTAGTATTTATCAATTTAGTTTATATTTTAATATTATATAATTTTTTTTGAAAAATAATAGTCTGATAAAATATCAGCAATACTGTAATTTTTAATAATACTAAATAGTTTAAAAGAATTTATTTAATATATTAATAAATATTTAGAATAGTAGTATAATTATTATAATAAGTTATATTAGTATATTATAAATATAAAGACTGTTTGTACCGAAGTCTAATATATTATAATAGTATAAAATATCTTATTATTATATTAAAGAGATTAAATTTAAAAAAAACCTAATCTAAACCGCTAGTTTATAAAGATAAATACAGTTCAAGAAATAGTTTTTAAAAAAAAGATTAAGTTTAATGTAAATATACTAAAGCTATTTAGATTATTATTTCTATAATAAATATTTTAATATAGATTTTGAAATTTATTTTTATTATCAAAAATATTACAGCTGCTTTAATCAAAGTAATTATATTCATTAATTTTAAATCTTCTATTTTTATTCTTTTTTTAAATATATATCTGATTTTAAGAAGTTTAAAGATAACTGTATTAGTTTTTATTAATTTCTTTTTTAAATTAAAAAAATAAATATTAATATTGATTATTATATTTTTATTACCGCTCGGAAATTATATATTATCAGCTGTCAAAAGAATTTTATATATTTAGATTTAATTTTATATTAACAAAAACTGTATTCTAAATAATTTTATTAATTTTTTATTATTATTTGAATATTTATTTAGTAATTTAAACTATATCCGTACCGCCCGAAACGAGCTATATTATTTAAAATTAAAAATTTATAATTTTACTGTTTTTTTTCACTAAATTTAAATATCTTATTAGAAAGATTTATATATATTTAAATATTTTATTTTTTATATTAAAAGATAATATCAGTCGGAATCTTATATTACGGGACGGATGGATTATGCTAATCGAAACATGCCTTAGAATAAGAAGAAATAACTAAAAAGCTATTTTATCTGTTGTCAACTATATAGCCAGTTGGTAGCCTCAGGCTCGCTAGTTCGCCACCTCAGGCTCTCCAGTTCGCTGCCTCAGGTTAGCCAGTTCGCGGAGTGGATTTCCGAGTTCCGGTGACCCCTCAATAGGGAAAACGGTCTGAAACAATCTTCTTCTATTCATCCTATTGTTCCTGTTCAATAGAAATTTATTCATTTGTTTACTTTCATGTGTTTTTCATATGATCGCGGAAAGCCTCGGAAAATTAATATGGCTATTCAGCTATAAATAAAAGGTCAATTCCTATTGTTCTTTTAGTTAGTTGAGCAAGCAGTTTCAGTTTTTTTATTCAATCAGTTTAATCAGTTACTTATTCAAGAAATTGATTTTATCTATCTTTTACTTTACTTTTACTTTCACTTTATCCTTTACTTAAATTTTGTATGGAATCCTATATAAAATTTAAATAAAAAGTAAGATTTTATTAAAGTAGAAGTAAAGATATTCAGAATTCTTTTTAATTATAAACCTAATTATATTCTTACTTTGATTATTCATCAATATCTAAGCTTTATTCATTTATTCATTTATTTATTTATTCACTATTTTAATTGTTTTATTCAAATTTTAACCATAAATTAACAAACAGAGAAAAGTATTATTTTAAATAATTAATCTGATTAGTATCTTTAGATTAATCAGATCCGATTATTTGCTATTAATAAGAATATATAAAAGCTGGTGGACCCAGATCTACTAATTAAGTCTATTTATTTTAAAAAGTCTGTTTTATCTTTAATCTACTAAATCAATTAATATACTACTTCTATTTCAGATTTTAGTAAATTTAATTGTTTATTATATCAGAAAATCAAGCAGAACTATTACTACCGGTTTAAAAAATAGAAAACAACCACTTCGGAACTAGTCTTATTAAATTAATTAATTAATTTTATATTAAGCAGGCAAAATTAATATACTATATTTAATAAGAAAAAATCTTATTTGATTTTAAAAGTCCTAAAAGCTAGGATTGCCCCTACTAATCAGTTTTAAATAAGAAAAATTATTAATAAATATACCAAGCTCCGGTTAGAAATAAAGGATTTTATTAAAAATTATATAAATCAGTAGAAATTAGTCTATTTAGAAGCGGTAGAATTAAAGCTAAGTAAGATATCTAATCTAATTTAAATAATATATAACTTTTTTAAATTAATTTAAAAAATAATAGGAAATTTTATAGTAAAATAGCAGACCAGATTAATTAACTATAAAATAAAAAAGAAAGAACTTTCTAAGTTTTTTAAAATCACCCGTCGAATATATAACTAGATTTGTTTAAATTTCTAAATTAAATAATCTATTAAATTAATAGACTGAATCAGTCAGACTACCTTCTAGAGCCAATCTAATAAATCAAAACAAACTTTTTTAAAAAAGAAATAAATTAATAAATAAAAATTATAGAAATAAAAATCGATCTTATTTATATAATTCAGAAAAAAATAATAGATTTTATAATTTTAATAACTGTTTCTATATTAATAAGAATCTCCGAGATTCTTATTAGAAATCCGAAGAGAAAGTCCTAAACCACTTTAAAAAAGCTTTTAAAAATAGTCTAAAATTAAGATATTTATTTAATTAATACAGCTAAGCTTATTAAATATTTTTTTTATTTAATAATAAATCAACTGATCAACCAAAGATTATCTTAATAATTAATAAACAGACTTTTTATTTAGAAAATTTATTAATATACTATTTATTTTAATAGGCTTTTAATACTGCTTTTGATAGCTATATCTGCAATTTATTAAACTTTTTTATTAAATTTACTTCTATTAAAAAAAAGTAAAATAGTAAAGATTAATAATATTTAATTGGTTATATAAAGATATAAAACAGTTATTTTCCGTTCTACTTATTTAAAAAAAAGATTTATATTTTAAATTTAAAAAAATAGTTTATATATTAGGATTTTATATAAATATTCTCTCAGCCTCAATCGCAGCCAGAAAGAAACTATTTCTAAATAGAAAAGATAAATATCTAAAAAAAGCTAATAACACGCTAGTTTATTAAATTAAAAATATTAATAAATTATTTGATATTTAATAGAAACAATTACCTAATTCAACAATAGCTATTATTATTAATAAAAAGCTAATTAAACTGTTTAAACACCTATATATAATCTTTAAAACAGTTAAAGAATAGTATAATAAACTAAAATATCTAAATCAGAAAGCTTTAAATTATTTTAGTAAATTAATTTAAAAAATTAATATTATTAATTCTTCTTTAAAACTAGTCCCAATCGGAAAGTATTCTACTTATAAAGTCAGTCAATCAGAAAGGCAGATTTTAAAACAGAGATTTAATAAAAAAAATTAAGTATTTAAATTAATTTATTAGGACTTAATTTATTTATTAAATAAAATTAATAAAAAGAAATATATCAGCTATTTTTATTATTTCTATTTGAAATTTTATTTAAAGCAAGCCCTAACTTCCAAATTAAATATATCAGAATTAATAATTAATATAATTTAATTAATTATTAATTAATATAAAATAATTTTTAAAAAATTTTATTCTAACTAGAACCGGAACCTC